CTTGTTGAGCAATGTTTTCTTTATTACAAAAAGCGATTCAGATATGTCGATGCAATCATAATGCTTGTTAAAATCTTGGCATAAGCACCGAAAAGCATCATGCATTTCAAAGTTTGATTTACAAATACTCAACACAATAGGTTTAAAATGTCTCGTGGGTCTTGTAGGAATACAAAAATTTATCTCACTCAGTAAAAAGGGACTACTGACCATCCCGTTCATTAATTTAATTAAAAAAAGAACACCAAGCATCTCTCTACGACTCTGAAGCGTCGGCAAATCTATAAGCTTCAGGCGATCCTTGTAGGGTGGGAGATTTTTAGACGAGTCCCAACATAAATTTTTGAGGGCAAATAACAGGAACTGTTTCTGCACTGATTCGAGCCTGTCACTATGAATTTGATAGCTAGGATTCCATACTATAGATGCATACTCCAAAATCGGTCTAACTAGAGAGGTAAAGAGAACTTTAGTGACATAAGGATCGTTGAACTCCTTGGCCCAGCGCTTAAGAAAAGCCAACAATCCTCTAGCCCTAATCACGCAGGAGTTTATGTGAGACTTGAATTCTAGTTTCGGATCCATAGTTACACCTAGGTCAATGAAATTGGTCACTTGCTCAACATTGTGGTTAGATATCATATACGAATTTGGATAGAACGATTTTCTAGAGAAGGTCATGAATTTACACTTTTTCAAATTTAGTGACATGGAATTTGCTTCACACCATTCGAAAATGCAGGTTAGGTCAGCTTGCAAATGCTCCCTATCTTCTGCCGTACTAATGTACTTAAAGAGCTTAACATCATCAGCGTACATTAAGCATTTCGAGTAATTCAACACCTTAGGAAGGTCATTTATAAATAAAATAAACAAGACGGGACCAATATGGCTGCCCTGAGGTACGCCGGATGTGACATGTATTGGCCGGGAGGTACAATTTTTAAAAATTACTCTTTGTTTCCTATCCACTAAGTAAGAAGAAAGCCAGCTGAGAAGAATAGGAGGGAAGCCAATTCGATCAAGTTTATATATAAGGGTTGAATGAGATACCTTGTCAAATGCCTTGCTGAAATCAGTGTAAATCACGTCCGTTCGAAGATTGTTTTTAAACCCATTAGACACATAAGTAGTGAATTCAAGAAGATTGGATACAGTTGATTTACCTTTGCAAAAACCGTGTTGCGATAGATCAATAGCAGAAGTAATAGAGTGAGATAGTTCTTCCGTAACGATTGCCTCAAAAACTTTAGCAATAGCACAAAGCTTCGCAATTCCTCTATAGTTTACGATGTTAGTCCTACTTCCATTTTTATAAAGTGGCAAGATAAACGAATCCTTCCAGGAAGATGGGAAGACACCCTGTTTTAGGGAAGCATTAAAAATATTTGCCAGAGGCTTATACAAATACTCTGCACAACTTTTAAGAACACTTGTGGGTATACCGTCTGGGCCAGCTGTATATGAAATTTTCAAACAATTCAAATGAATGAGGACGTCCGCAGCAGATATCGATGGAATTCGGATACAATCAAATGATGGCAGATCGAATGGGTAGCTAGATAGATTCGAATTCAGTTGGGAAGATGTAGAACTGGCAGAGTAGTTTGACTCGAAGAAACCAGCAAACATATCGGCAATAATATTTTCGTCACTGGAAACTAAGTCATTTAACTTCAATGTTGAGGGATAACCGTTAGTCTTACGCTTAGTGTTCACAAATGCGTAAAACGATTTGGGATTAGAAACTATATTGAGTCGAACCCTGTTAATATAATTATTGTAACACTTTTTGTTCAATACATTGTATTTATGCCTAAGAATGGAGTACGCGGAGTAGTGAGAAGACAAGCCAGATTTTTTAAAAAGCTTAAATGCTTTGGATTTTTGATTTTTTAAGCGTTTCAATTCGCCAGTAAACCACTGAGCGTTAGACGTTACGTTAGCTTCCTTAACAAGAGGAATGATTTTACTGAAAATGTGGCGTAAGGAATTGCTAAAATGTAAGGCACTATCTTCAGCATTCCCATCATACTGGGGCCAAGTTATCTTCGATATCTCTAACCTAAGTTTATTATAATCTGCTGTTTTAAATGAGTAACGCTCCGCTCTTGATTTTTTACTGATAAAGCAACATGAGTTGCGTGAATTTATCAAGGACAATTCTAGTGGTGGGTGGTGAGAATCAACAGGGGTAATCAAAGCATAGCTAGGGGCTATTGTGACGTTGGAAACATCGTCCACAAAAACTAAATCCAGACATTTACCTAAGTTATTACTAACAGAGTTGATCTGGTAAAGACTAAGATCTGACAGATCGTTCAAAAATTGATTGAAGAGATCACGAGAGGAATTTGGTACTAGAATACCATCTATTAGATCCCAAGAAACACCCGCAAGATTGAAGTCACCCAGGACAATAACAGTATCGGAGGGCTTCACCATGGCATGTAGAGAGAGCAGTAAGGAGGAGTGTTTTAAATAAACAGAAAGGCTCGAGTTAGGTGGTATATAAGCAGCAACAAGATAAACGCTAATAGAATGATATCTTATTCGAACGCAGAGGAATTCAACTTCATCGGTGTCAGTGAACTCAATTTCTTCAGAAGAAAGGTCAGTCTGGACAGCGATTAAGACGCCTCCACCTTTTTTATTTAAACGGTCGTTTCGAAACACTTCATACTTAGGACACAAAATTTCCGAGTTGAACACATTCGGCTTGAGCCAGGTTTCAGTAAACACCAGTACTTTGAAGTCAAAATCATAGGACTGCAAGTGTAACCTTGATAGCTTTGTGTTCAAACCTCTCACATTTTGGTAGTAAATGCTAATGGTGAGGTTACTTATTAGTTTTTTGATGCCGAGGTGGAAAGCGGAAGTTGAGCCAAATTTTGCCCTTGCGGTCTAGATCTAAATTCAAATTCGCGAATGAAGGCACCGCTTGGCCAAAAAGATGGGCTCATTACTCTATCAAAGCAGTCTTCGGATATGTCTATTTTAAAAGAAGAAATGCTTCTTTCATACGAGAATCTGAACTTGCGTACATGCAACTCATTTGCTATCAGCCTGGAAGTTAAATACCCCTTCACATCATCGACAGTGGTATCTTTTGAAAACCTAGATATAAAGACCGATTTTTTGGAAGGGACAACGATTAAATCCCTCGGGACGGGGTTAACGCAATCGGAAACGGTTTCAGATGTGGTAGGGGGTTGCGGAACAGGGGGTTGCGGAACAGCTGTCAACTTTTTGGATGGAGCAACGATGGCTTCGGATGTGGTAGGGGGTTGAGATGTAGTTGTGGAGTTTTTGGAAGGAGCAGCGACTACTTGCATTGGAACGGTGTTGACGCAATCGGAGATGGCTTCAGATGTGGTGGAGGGTTGAGATGAAGCTGTTGAACAGGAATTTAGTGAGGCTCCAGTAGAAGAAGGACGTGGTTGGGGAGATTCAGTCCGCCGAGGAATCGGTGTGTTAAAGCTTATGAGTTCTTTGTTCATAGCTGGAGTCAAAAGTGGGCGGTTCTGCGGAAGATCCAGGTCCACAGTGATGGGATTCAACACAATATTTTCCACGCCTCTCCTACGTCTCTTAAGACCTTTTCCAGGAGAAGGAGAGGAGGAGGAAGTATCTAATAATTTAAATTCTTTGAATTCATCCTCATACTTCTTGAACTTCTCGTTGAGCAGTTTTAGCTCTTTGCTTATCTCCGAAAATCCATTTCTAGCGGTTCTAAATAGTTTACAGAGATCCACAACAGTTTTTTTACACTTTGGACATGACCAGCGAAGTCCATTGTCTCCAATAATCATATCCAGAACTCTCCCATTAATACCAGCACACTTTAAATGAGACAGTTCATCGCAAAGCCAGCACGCCACAAAACGGTCCGAACCGGCTTTTACATTACATTTTTCGAACAGACAGGACATTTTAGCGAATTTTATTAAAAAAGAATAAAAATAGCGAAATTAGGAATGTATTGTACGAAAACGTTTCAAGCTCACAGTAATTGGCAGTTTAATAGCTAGTGGACTTATTTAGTGAAGTTCAATGGTTAGAAACCGTGCTGAACTTAACAGTTTTAAAGCCACTGAGTTAACAAAATCAGCTGTCACCAAGAAAGCGACTGTCGATGATAAACAAAGGTGTGTGTAAAGCGCGAAAGAAAGCAAAATGAACAAACAAATGCGATATTCCTTACACTCTCACGCAAAAGCAACAATAATGCACCAAAACAGGCAAATATGCACGAAGGCCGACTAAATAAAACTTTTCAATCAACGCACTTTATGACTAAATCAAGTCAATTTATTGGAATTTGGCTTCAGTAAACTTTTTACGGTGTGAATAACACAAATTAGAACTGCTTAGCACTTTGTAAACGAGTTAAACTTTGGAAATTCTTTCAAGCGAAAGTTTAAGTGACCGCACAGTACGAACGTTGCCAGATGTACATTCATTCTACATATATTTTTTAACAAGTTAAGTAAAGTTCTGCATCCGCCAATTTGTACAGCCATACATCAAAAAATAAGGAAGTTACTTTATTGACGCATTGCTATGAAAGAGTTACTTTTTAACAGTGAGATTTGGCTAACTTTCAATTTTTTTACTGAAACCGGTGGTGAACACTCAAAAAACGGCCCCAAGAGGGGCATAACATGAATGAAAAAAACGGAATAGATTTGAAGTCAAGCGGAGTAGAGGAGTAGATTTCAAATTTTTTCAAAAACCGGAGTAAATCTAATCTGATCTTAGTTGAGTCCAAACACTAGTAGGAAACGAATTCTTTACATTTTAACGCTAATGACCCACAGATGGCGGGAAAACACAGGGTTGTATCAGACTTTCGACGTGGTTTCGAGTTGGTTAGCTTTTAACCATCTCAGTGAAATGGTTAAGTGCTGTCATTTTTAT